CACATCCTAGTGTTTCAAAGACATATGTTGGTACCACTTAAGCATGCAAGGAAATGTCTTACATGGGGTTTTTTTTTTTAGTCATATAAGTAGAAAAAGAAGAACATATTAATACTAGACCAATGAAAATTCAAGTAATGTCTCTCAAAAATTGAGGGATAATTTGATAGTAAGACCTGAGCTGTGACAGCCTACTGTGTGCAAAACTGAGCTTTCTTTACACAGCAAAATCCACACAGTTTTGTTGTCATTATGTGGGAGCAGGTGGGAATTTACTTGAGTCGACACAGTGTGCATGTGAAATGACTTCTCTTTTAGCTACCAATGTAGTGTATTTTAAGTGTTTTTCTTATAAAGTAAGTTTATTTAGCAATAAGGTTGCACTGTTTGGATCTATATGTTCACATGACTACAGGAAGTCACACTATGACGTTACTTCCTGAAGTAATACCTAGCTCTCCATATTTCTACTTCCTTCCGTCATAGGCCAAGCAAAGTACAGACACGGTCTTCTCGTCTTCCAACTGAGACATGTAAGAATTTGTAAAACATCAAGTATTTCACTTCCAATACAGCAGTGTGCATCCTTCTTAGAGATCCCTTAACAAATAACCTGCCTTCCTTCAACATGCTCCAAAGTTTAAGAACCGCAGATGTATCTTTCCTGAGTAGGCCCTCTGCAGAAAGTGTGGAGTAGAAAGTACATTATTCCATTAAGCATTCCTTTCCCTTTGGAGCAGGATCATTTAAAATGCACCTTAGCATATTAAGCAGTTGACAGATAGCGTAAACAAAAACAGGTTGTGCATTGCAGCCATACACAATGCACCTTTGTGCAGTTGACTGACTGCTTACAACAATAAGAAATAATTGTAGCATTTTGCTGTCAAACTTTCAGATACTTTATATTGAACTTCAAAAATAGGATTCCTTTTTCTCACATACAACTAATTTGAAAAGTAATGTAGTGCTACAAAACATGGGTGTTTCACCCTGATGAGGAGACTGTTATCTCTTAACAATGGACAGAATTTCACATCCTAGTGTTTCAAAGACATATGTTGGTACCACTTAAGCATGCAAGGAAATGTCTTAAATGGCAGCGAGTCCAATATTATTAACAGAAAGAATTCAAAAGTATTTATTTACCAATTTTGACAGTTGTCATGGACATCACTGTTTCATGTGGCATTTTTGACAACACAATTTGCTGGCTGAGAGTTACAGGAGAGCTGAAAGATTCCCTCCCCACCCCACCGGACCCTTTACAATATAAAAACACATCCTTGTAACTTTCTGATGAAGAGAAGCATGGGTTCTGTAGGACATCCTTCCCAGCGCAGTCTCTTATGAGGAAACGAGTACGAGTGTTAACAAGGCCTAACCTTCCCCTTTGTGCCCGGTTCTTCATTAAGATCTAACTGTGCTCTAGCTCTCCTCCCCTGAAGATTTGATGTGAAGAAGGTATGACAGGCTTGGCTTCTCCTCATGCAGCTGGCTCTCCTGATGCCAAAAGCCAGGGCCTGTGGTGGTGGGATCAGGAGAGTCGTTCCCAGCCCGGTTTGCCTGTCAGTTTCCCATCCGCCTCACCGTGCTGCGCCCCCTCCCCAAGTCCCCCTAATGAGAAGTGGAGGACAATACCGGTATTGTCGTTTCTACTGGCAGTCTTGTGGAAAGAACAGTCGCTGTTTACCCAAGCATTTGTATTACCCAAACTCTGTCGATAATTACTTCTAGAGTCCCTGATTAACCCTGCTCTCTGCCTCAGCACAGAAATATCTATTGAGATAGACACCAGACAACTTTTCTGTCTCTCAGAGCATTTTAAGAGTTTACTGGATAGGACTCATGTTTTTCAGAAGAAAAGAAATACATCTAGATGATTTGCACTCAGAACATCAAGAGCTCACCGACCATATAAGAAACTCATAATTTTCAGTGAACTTGAAAATTCACCCTCATCCCCCCATCTTCTCCCCTTCCCCCAAAGAAAAGTTAAAAAGCACATTCTCTTTCCAGAGGATACAGTCTGATACCTAGGAGCTTATGGCAAATACAAGCATATTTCAAGGAAGAATGACATTTCTAGTCCGTTTATCCCTGTTAACATCTTCTGGTGAAATATGTAAAAGAAAGAATGTCTACTTATTTAATTACCATGCAATTTCATGATATGCTTTTGTTTTCTAAGCCCTAACAAAATGGTCCTATTGCTGTCTATCTCCATGATACTGGTAATAATTTTAATCTGTCACATCACTCTTACTCCCTTCATGTCCCACCCCACATGCAGTCGGCTGTTAGCGGTATGCAAAACACCATCATGAATATGCGTAATTATGGAGATTCATGGTAATTTTTCAGGGTTATCTGATGTGACGTTTATAGGACAGCAGCATACATCAATTTAAACGAGAGTGACAAATATCTTATCCTTTATATTTTTATAGTATTTTTAATATTTCCTCAGCCCCTCTCCAGGGAGTAGTATGAAATGGTAAGAACTTAATAATAAAAATGTTAAACAATCAAATGCTTTACTATATGTTTTTTAAAGGCAAGTTTTGCAATGATTCTCTACCTGTTGAAGTCTAAAAAGTACACTATATGGATTTTTTTATTAAACAATACTTTTATCAAGTGTCTTACACATTTAAAACCAACAAAAGCATGAACTTTTGCATATGGCATTTTAAGATGAGGATAAATTTGCTTAATTACTTTTAAACTGTGATTGCTTGCCTGACTGAATTATTTGTCAAACATGGTCCACCAACTTTATTAAGCATGGGCATCTGAAACAATAATCTATTTGTAGCATATTTGAATTTTGTCCTAAGTGAGCTGCATCTCTTAGAGAGTTGCGTATTATCTTTATCTCAGTGACTAATTAGGAGTAGCTTGACAATTTCATATTTACAATGATTATAAAGTAGGAATCCTTTTTCCTGCTCATATTGTTTGTCATGAACATTGTACAGTACTAATTACGTTGAAGATATAAAGACTCCCACAATATGATTGAGAGGTATCTTAAGTTCAAAGTGAGAGAATGTGAATTGTATCAAGAATTTTAAATGGTGGGGCAATTATTACCCATTTCTCATGCCATCACTAAAAATAGCAAAATAACTGTGTTCACTCAAGTCATTAAACCAGCCATATTTTTAAGTGTATTAACAATAAAGTCACTAAAAGTTGACTTGATTGAAAATAACGCTCCCCATTCCAAACAACTAGATTCAGAATTTTTTTTTCTTGGGCATACACTTTCATGATTTCAGGTTGAGGATCAAACCTTCACAATTAAACACTGCTCAGTACTATGTTAGTCACACACAACCATGAACACCTTCCATACAATTATCAGGGTCTACTGTGGAAGTATACTGCTAATAAAAATGACAAGAGTGGATACTGGAGCATTGTTCCAGAGTAGGTTGCAGGAACATACTTTGCATGGCATATGTATGTTGCCTCTCTAAATATCACCATTTATTGCTTCAGAAATAATTTCTTTTGAAAATATATTAAACTTTCGTCTCTTGTTAAAGTCCCAATTTGATTAATAAACAAATTTTGTGATATAGTAGACATATAAGATAGTAATATTGTAAATGCATGTTTTTTGTGTTTGGATGTTTTTTAAAGTGCCACTTTCAGCAGACACACAATTGTTATGTCCTTTCACAAGTATAACACAAACTGAAGAATTAATGCAGTCATCTAGATAATACAAGGGTAAAACACATGTGCCTCAACCATTTATTGCAATGAATGACTGTCTTGATTTTCTTCACTTTTCATATGTAGACATAGTTTACAATAATATTTATGTCAACATTCAAAATTTATACATATATAATTCTGAAGTATTTCTCCACAAAATATGACTGAGATTGTCTCACAGCAATAACTTGTACTCTTTGGTTGTACTTATATTTAGTTGGGTTAGATCTTGTGTGTGTGTGTGTGTGTGTGTGTGTGTGTGTGTGTGTGTGTGTGTGTGTGTTTTCTTGGGTGTATGTTAATTAAATCAAGGGAAAACAAGACAGATTCATCATGCTCATTTATTAACTGCATTTAATAAATAGATTCATATATATGATACAGATAGTTCCCTAAAAGAAGTTCATTGATATCGTCTGTTTAAAACTTTAATAATAAATATTTCTGAATCTAATCACAAATTGATTTGTATACATTTATAATAAAAGCAATATTAAAACAAACAGAAAAATTTCCAGAGGAGGTGTTCTACATTGTACACATTTAAGATTTTATACATTTGGTACAACATCCATAAAGAAATCAAATACCATAATCCATTTTCAAAAGTTTCATTGACACATTAAAAATTCAAATATGTGTCAGATTTTATACTGTTTCCTCCACATGTACTGACAGACACAATAGTATTATTTAATTGCCAACATTTATATTATTCTACCTTATGCTTATTAAATGTATAAAGTATATTTTCAATCCATTTGAAAACTCGATTCTGTTTATTAATACATGAGGTTTCAGCCTTCTTCTGGGATTGCCTAATCACTACTTGTAGTCTTTTTCTAGCCACATAGAAAAGCATTCCAGAAAGAAGAAAGAAGCCATGTCATGTTTCTTCACACTGGTACTGTGTCAGAAAATGTTTTGCTCAATATTAGAAATTAAATCTTGTTTCAGTTAAAATATCACCATCATGTTGGGTTATAAGGGCTTCTCTGCAAAAGCAATTAATATCTAAATGTTAAAAAACAACAAAATATTTTGTAATATCTTAGCAATGAAAATGGACTGTCCAGGTTATAAACTCAGCAGCTAGGGCTCATGCGAAGCATTCAGCGGTAATTTTCATGTTTTGTTTAGGAGTATGCAGTCGAGGCTCCCAGTATAACCGAGATCTCCTCTATCCCCATGGAGGCACGTGGAGCAGATGCGAAATGAAGCGTCTCAGAGCATTTCACTCCTCCAGTGTTGTTTTAATTTGTTCTGAAAAATCAAATGTCTGTCTTTCAATTTATTTATGAAAACTCAACTTTCAGAATTAAATGAATACATTTTATAGAAACACTGAGAGAGGCCTTGATAGATATTTTCCTTTGGAAATGCTAAAGAGCAAAATATAACAATTTGGTGGCAAACATCTGTCTGTTAATCATATAAGATAAATTCATAAGGAATACACGAAAGATATTTATTTCCTGTTACTGCTAAGCCAGTCTTTATTTATCTTGGAAGATTTTTCATCTATGAGTGGAAAACAAACTTTCCTTCAAGAGGTCTGTGAACCGAATAATAAATGTCAGGTCTAAATCCTGTATGAAAATCAGTCCGGTTTAATCCTGGATATTCTTCAGCATGCAAATGAGGCCTGGAGGTTTCCCTGGGCCTGCTGTCATACAGGCAGCCAATTTACAGACCCTGGCACAGTGTATGTGTTAGGGGCTCGGCTGCCCCTCCCCCCAGCCTAAGACTTGGTCTCAGCTGCCTGCCTTTCACAGAAAACCACAAACCAAGGAAACATATCAGTAATAGCGCCCTGTAAATTAACTTGACATTTGATGCAGAAAAAACCCTAAAAGCTTACAAAAGACATTGAAAACAAAAGCCACTCAGGACTCACACTACATATATTGTGGATTTAAGAGATCTGGAAGGTGGTTATTCTGTTGTAACCAACATATACAGCCTTCATCTTCTTTGTTAAGACAATTCAGTCATTCTTTGTTACAAGCAGACTATCCGTCAAACAACAAAACAATGTTTTCCTCAATAACTACCTAGAAGTCCAACTGGTATTAGAATCATAATTCAATCAGGCTTTGAATGTACATTAATAGATAAAGTCCTATATTCCTACTGTTTAATAAGAAGATAAAATGTGAGTATATGTCTCTTTGGTAAACAGGACATGTTGACTTTTCTAACATGTAAATAATGTAAGACTCATTCAAAAATTATGTAAATCTTGCTAAATGTGGGATATTTACAAATATTATGTGTCTTAAAATTTTGCCATTCAAGGGATTTCGTTTTCCTCATGCTTGGAAACGAGGAATGCTTAATATAATATATATATTCATATATATGGATAAAAACACACACATACACACACATATATATATGTATAGATATACATATATATATATTTGTGGTTCAAAGAAGGACTGTTGATAAAATATTAAATGCTTCTTTGACATCAGCTGTGGCATGGGGCTAGAGTGAGGCACCGAACATATTTAAGCCATTAGACATGCAGGAATGTTACCATTATTATGCAGTATTGTGTCTGACTCTCTCTCTCTCTCTCTCTCTCTCTCTCTCTCTCTCTCTCTCTCTCTCTCTCTCTCTCTCTCTTTCTCTCTCTCTCCCTCCCTCCCTTCCTCCCTCTCCCTCCTTCTTTTCCTTCCTTATTCCCTCCTCCCAAGCTTCTCTGTATTTCTCCTTCCTCTGCCTCCCTCAGCAGGGTCTGCTACACTGAACGCTGCAAATTCTGGCCTTATAGTTTACAAGCACAGAACCACACTGGTGAAAATGTATAATCTTAGCATCTGTGCTTCTTGATATTCATGGATTTATTTACAAGTCCCTGTGTTCTACTTTTTTTACCTCTTTCTATGGTTTATATGTCTGTCGTGCCTGTATTCTTGTGGGAATTTCAAATAAGAATCAAGATATACCTGGCAAATGTTCTGTAATGCTGTCTGCATCTCCATAATTTAGCTGTTTCTTTAAAAGAAAAAAGTGTAAAGAGGCTTATAGACTTAAGGATATATGAAGAGTGTTTTGATTGGGTTTTTTAGTGCTTTAACTGCTGAAGGTTCGGTTTGTATAAAATGTACGTAATAAAGTAAATTTATGAACATATATGCACTTGTGTCTATGTAAATATAAACACATTTAGAAAAGAACTTCATAAATCTGGGTCAAATTTACTGATTAAGCTCACTGTATTCACATTTGGTAACATTAAGATATCTCACAGACAGGTTCAAGGGTAAAAGTTGAGCATTTTATACCTCCTCTAGATGCAACACTTAACTATTTATAAAGTAAGGAGTATTCACAGTCCTGTGACTCCAGCCCTCAGCATACAGACCAGACACATCCCTGCATGCAGCTCCTTCAACTGCAGCCCTCTAGTGCACATTACTAGTGCCAGGAAATTTGTTTTCTTTCTTTTCTTCTCTTTTTGATATGAAGAAAAACTCTTTTGAATAATTTAATTAGCACCCTAACCAGAAATTTAACTTATTTTACAATAATTTTCCTCCCATAGATACCCTCCCCCAACAAAAAAGAATTTCTCCTTGAAATTATCAATGCATTTGTTTTTTGAGATTAATATTCACTACTATAATATAACACTGAAATCAGAGAAGTCCATGTGTATGCTTTACTGTGTATAGCCCCAATTTAATTACTATGTGTTAAACCACCTGGACAGTGAAATGAATTTATGGATATGTTTTGAGACAGCAATATTTTGGAACTGCATAAGAGAAAAAATGGGGTGATGAGGACATTGCATTCAATGGTATCAATGCTAATATTCTTGACAATTCATACTCTAGGGAGAGAAAACGTTAAATATGAGAACTTTATGATAAAGGCTTGTTATAGTCCTAAAGTGTGGGGTATATAAAATATTAGCGTTTTCACGTGCACAGTCATAACACATGCTAAGCAGCATAGATTATTAAGAAGATTCATTCCTTTTTTGGAGAGGGAGGGGAGAAATTACAGACAAGCACTAAGCTATTCTGTTTAACACAACTCTGTCTAGTTGATTGTAAGGCATGTGTGTAGTGTTTTTCTAAAGCCCGTCATCAACAGCAAAGCAATTTACAGCTCAAGATAGTTTTTAGCAGATACTCATTTTATTAAGAGTCAACAAGATAGGTTTAACGGAAAGATATACATGCATTTGCAATTCATATTGTTGCTGTGTTTCTATTGTGTTCTGAGTTCCATCATGGCTGGGAGATGGGAAGCTGGCATGCAGTACGGAAGGGTAAGACAGAAAGCTCCAAGTAAATACTTAGAGCATTTCCCCTAATTATCTCTAATTACGACCACCTTTCTTACCATGCCCCTACCACGGTAGGGCACCGGGAATGGAAAGAGATAGGAAACGAATGATTCTTGGTGCAGATCATATCCATGCTTAAATAACATTAGTGATTATTTTGGTCTAGAGGATGATGTTTCATTCTGGACTGCCAAGCCCCTCAGTCTACCCATTCAAAGAGATGACAGAAAATGAATCTGAATGTGCAGGCATTAAACATTTAAATTCTCTACTCCCTGGTCATTACAGGACTGTCATATTTTACACCTTCCCCTCCCCCACTCTGTTTTGCTGATTTGACTTCATTTACATTTAGCTCATTATGCATCCGGTCTTTGTTCTACTGAACGGGATACAGTACAGTGACAAAGCAAAACTCACATGTCGGCTGGAATCATTCTTCTGATTTAAAAATTAGATTTCACTACTTAAATTTACATTTAATTCCCCAACATTGTTTAAATTGGAGGTGAGATTTTTCGTATGTGATAATTATAATATATATGCAATGATTTTTAAAAGTGGTTAAAATTACCTGAAAATGTCATTAAGAAATGACATTTAAGACCTTTTATAACAAATATTCTGCTGCTACATAGGCAATACTATCATATTAGAAGCATTAGGTTATTCTTTCCAAGCTTGCTTGGATCACTATAGATGTCCAAGAAGCAAGCTTTTATCTATTTTATATTAACTTTATTGTTTAGATCAGCCCCTTATGGACCTTATTTTAACATATCAAACAACAAAGGTAATGTCAATCCTTTAAAAAAAAGAATTTCTGCTTTGCATTCCTTGCAATTAAGAAGAGTTTCTGATTTACAAAGCAAATTTTCATTAAAGGGAAGTCCTAGCTGACCGATCACACAGAAAAATATGAAAGTTACATCGAGCTTTAAATGTCTATCCCCATGACAGTGCACACTATCTTTTCATTTGTTGCAACCAATGGAGACATGGGATTAATCTAATACAGCCTAATTAAACACCCATTCACACATGAGGGTTTTTAATAGGATAGTGTCGAGAATGCTACTTTGTATCTCAGTTATATTTGCGTTTGTGGTTGGACAACAGATGTTTTTAAATGTAAAGAAAAATTAAATATTAGTGAGCATGCTTTTTTTGTCATTCCCAAACAAGATAATTGCCATAAGTAAAATTTCATTTCATTCCCTTTATATGTTTTGACCAAGATGTTTTTCTAAATTTTGCTATAGTTACAAATGTATACTCATGATCACATGGCTACACATCCGGAGCCATCTTTGAAGAAAAGAACACCATTATACCTTCTTGGCTCTGTTAATGACTCATTGTGTGACCTCTAGCTTCTCCCCTAACCTGTTTATGCCTTTATTTTTTTCATCTATGGAAAGGGAATATTTGTCCATTATGTACCCCTACCGAGATTTTGCAAAGTTTAATTAGAATAAAATATTACTCTTAGGAAGGAAGTATCTTATGAAGGCAAGCTTCCTTTTTCATTGATTAATTTTTACTACATTGTGAGAAAATGCAGTGCTGCATATTTTTATGTGTTCAGCCAATCTCTTAAAATTTGGGACTTTGATCCTAAAATTAATAAAAATAAAATACAAATGCTTAGTTGTGTTTCTTGGAGGTAGGAGCAGTCACCCATGTCTTGGCAATTTATATCATATAATCTTGTTATCATCTGCAAGATATTTCTGTAAGCATAATTGGTTTTGGAAAATGGCTTTTGCAGTAAAAGTAGTCAATACAGCAGCATTTAGAGTGAGTGCTGCATGCAGGAAGATTAGAAATTCAGCAAAGAGTTCTTACCAGTGTTGGCTCTCAAGGGAAATAGTAAATAGAGGTTTCATGTCTACAGTTATTTAAGAATATCTTGATTTTTTTTTTTTAGTACTAGACATTTTATTTATTAGCTAACATGCACCTCTAATGTAAAAAGATGTATAAAATGTTATCATTTGAGTGTTTAACTAGGCTAATTTAGAAGATGAATCCATCTCAATGCCATTTCCAAAATATTATCTGGACATAAGTAACTTTATTGCTATTTTTAGGGTTAAACTGGTATTATGTAGTATATTTGTTCTTCGGTTGGGTTGGATTACCTAAAATAATTCTTTCTTGGTCCAATTTAGCCTCATAGCATTTGATCATACTTCCCTGGAATCTGAGACACATCAGTATCATGCACAAATCTAAAAAATATTCTATGAGGTATTCTGTATGTGTCCCTTTAATGCGTGTTCATTCATTGCTGAATACGTGATATTATCTTATTTAATCCTTGAGACCAGGAAACAAGCAGGTTTATAGTTAGACACAGAGATGACTTTACTAAAGTCTGAGCGGGATCAGAAAGTCTGATGGCTTACCCCATCAGAATTAGATATACATATCAGTGTTTGCTGGGACGGTGGACAGCACTGCTGTTACCTAATGTTGTGGGGCCCTTTCTGAGAAGAGTCAAAACTCTGCCTTCATTAACTCAGACAAAGACATACGTATGAATTGCTTGATTTATAAAATGTAAGCAGGCATAATGGGTGTTTTGTCGAATTGAGGGGAAGACTTAAGAATCAGTCCAAAATGCCATGCTTCTGTCCCCCTTTGCTATGGTTACCAGTATTCTAGATAGTATCTGATCCACGAAACTGAGTCTCAAACCAAGGGCTACAGTGAGTTAGAGGAAATGCTCCAATTGACTCACAGTGAGTTGAATGAGAAAGAAAGAAGAAAAAACTTGAACTTAAGTCACTGGGAATTGAAGATTTTGTGTTTTTATAAAAGTCCCTTGGTTCTCCGGGTGTGCTTTGTGGACCCCTGGCTTTCCTAAAGCTGTAGGCTGGAATCCACAGATCAAAACTACTTTCATGCTATGGGGATTGTTATTTCCCTTTGGCTTTCATTTCTTTGCAAATGCCATGCTGTGTGTGCATTCTATTGTAATAAACAAACTACAAGGACCCGGTTGTACTGTGAAATGGATGTTAACGTCCATATATCCATATGTTGAAGTCATAATCCCTAGTGTTTTGGTATTTGAAGACAAAGACAATGATAACCCTTCTTCCAGAATCCATCAATACCCAAAATAGTTCAGCAGAAAGAAACAGAGTCCCCCCAATCTCCTATCTGATCCACGATTGTCTGTTGATATATATGGCCAGTACTGTATAGGCCCATTGTGGGTAAGCACAGCTGCTGTTAGATCATGACTGTGTTGACTATTTGGTGCTCAGGAGACAGCTCCCTACATCTCTGCTCTTTTTTTTCCTTCTCTCATATCTTACATCCCAACCACAATTTCCCCTCCCTCCACTCCACCTGCTTCCTGTCTCCCCAGATCCACTCATCTTCCATTTCCCTTCAGAAAAGGGCAGACTTCCCAGGATTATCAACCAAACATATCATATCTACTTGCAATAAGACTAGGCCTACACACACACACACACACACACACACACACACACACACACATCATATTAAGACTGGTCAAGACAACCCAGTATGAAAAAAAGGGCCCCAAGAGCAGTCACAAGAGTCAGAGACAGCCCCCACTCCCACTGTTAGGAGTCCCACAAGAACACCAAGCTACACAACCATAACACATACGCAGAGGACCTTGCACAGACCCATACATGGTCTCTAATTGTTGGTCCAGTCAGCCTGAGCCCCTGTGAGCCCTGGTTAATTGATCCTATGATTTTCTTGTGGTGTTCTTGACCCCTCTGGCTCCAACAATCCTTCATCCCCCTCTGATTGTGATTCTGAGAACTCTGTCTAATGTTTGGCTGTGGGTCTCTGCATCTGCTTCCATCAGTTGCTAGATGAAGCCTCTCTGATGACAATTATGCTAGGCTCTGGTCTGCAAGGATAGCAGAATATCACTAGGAGTCATTTCATTGACTGACTGACTGACTGACTGTTTTTTTGCCAGTCTGGGCTATCCAGCTTCTGGTTCCTGGCCCTCCAGGCAGTGTCAGGTGTGGGTTCGTTCTCCTGGCGTGGGTTTCAAGTTGGACCAGTCATTAGTTGGCCAGTCTCAGAAGGTTTTTTTGCTACCTTTACCCCAGCACATCTTGAAGGTAGGACAAATTGTAGGTCTAAGGTTTCATGGCTGGATTGTGTGCCCCAGTCCCTCCATGGAAGCCTTGCCTGGTTACAGAAGATGGCCAGTTCAGGCTCCATATCCCCCATTACTAGGAGTCTTAGCTAGGATCACTCTCATAGATTCTTGGGATTTCCATTGCACTAGGTTTCTACCTCATCTCCAAAATGTCCCCCCCCCCAAATTCCAGTCATCTCTCCCTCTACTCTCCCCTGCTTCCCACCTGATCTCTTCTGTTCTCATCCCTACCAGCCTGCAGCCCATCTGCAAATTCTATTCTATTTCCCCCTCCCAGCGAGATTCATGTGTCTCCTCTTGAGCTCTCCTCGTAACTTAACCTCTCTGGGGCTGTGGATCATAGCATGGTTATCCTTTACTTTATAGTTAATATCCACTTACAGGTGATATTTTGTTTGTCTTTCTGGGTCTGAGTTACATCACTCAGGATGATTTTTTTTTCTAGCTCCATCCATTTGCCTTCAAATTTCATGATGTCATTGTTTTTTGTTTGTTTGTTTGGGTTTTTTTTGTTTGTTTTTCGAGACAGGGTTTCTCTGTGTAGCTTTGCGCCTTTCCTGGAACTCACTTGGTAGTCCAGGCTGGCCTCGAACTCACAGAGATCCGCCTGGCTCTGCCTCCCGAGTGCTGGGATTAAAGGCGTGCGCCACCACCGCCCGGCTGATGTCATTGTTTTTAACAGCTGAGTAATACTCCATTGTGCAAATATACCACATTTTCTTTATCAGTTCTTCAGTTAAGGAACATTGAGGGTTGTTCCAGTTTCTGGCTATTACAAATAATGCTGCTGTGAACAAAGTTGTGCAAGCATCCTTTTGGTAGGATGAAGCATCCTGTGGGTAGATGCTCAAGATTGATATAGCTGGGTTTTGAGGTAGATGTACGGCCATATTGATTTCCAAAGTGGCTGTTCAAGTTTGCACTCCCACCAGCAATGGAGGAGTGTTCCCCTTGCTACACATCCTCTTCAGCATGAGCTGTAACTTGTGGGGTTTTTTTTGTTTTGTTTTGTTTTTTTGTTTTTTGTTTTTTTGGGGGGGGGGGGTTTGGTTTTTCGAGACAGGGTTTTTCTGTGTAGCTTTGCACCTTTCCTGGAACTCACTTTGTAGACCAGGCTGGCCTCGAACTCACAGAGATCTGCCTGCCTCTGCCTCCCAAATGCTGGGATTAAAGGCATGCACCACCACCGCCCGGCTGATCTTAGCCATTCTAACAGGTATAAGATGGAATTTCAGAGTTGTTTCTCAGCCATTTGAGATTTCTTTGTTGAGAATTCTGTTTAGAACTGTGTCCTATTTTTTAATTGAATTATTTGGTGTGTTGATATCTAGTTTCTTGAATTCTTTATATATTTTGGACACTAGCCCTCTGTCAGATGTGGAGTTAGTGAAAATCTTTTCCCATTCTGTAGGCTGCTGTTTTGTCCTATTGATGGTACCATTTGCCTTACAGAAGCTTTTCAGTTTCATGAGGTCCCATTTATTAATTTCTCTTACATTTCTTCCCACCTTCTCTTTTATGATGATCCCTGAGAATTTGAGGGAGTGTAAAAATCCTGTTTGGAGGTAAGCACTCAATTGTTACTTTTTCCAAACATCTTGAGCAGTTATACACCTCGGCATTCACCACTACTCACTGAGAGAGCAGGTTCCTCTTATTAAAGTTGAAAGCAACATTTGTCTATGTGTGTAGAAATAAATATTTAGAGGGCAGTTTGGCCACAAGTTGTTAAAGCAGCCTAAATTGAGGTAAATATGTTAAAAAAAATTGTAACATGTAAATTGTAACCTCTATTTTCTCCATATTATCTTTTGTTTGCTTTGAAAGATAGCCATTTTATATAAATATGTATTATTCATTCCTCTTAGTTTTAAATGAATATTTTATGTTCTTAATTTCAATTTCTGGTTTAAAAATCAATTGGCATACTTACATCAACAAAAACTATTGAATAGTTCTCTACAATTATATATGTCTGTATTAGTTCTTGGAGAATTTTGTATGATGTGTTTTGATCACATTCACTCTCCCTCCTCCAACTCTACCCAGATACACTCTCCCTTTCCTACTCACCCAACTTAGTGTACTTTTAAACTTTTTATTTATTAAAGATTTATTTTTAATGTACGTGGTATGTAAATGCACCACAAGTATGCATGCCTGGTACCTGCAGAGGCCAGAAGAGGGCCTCAGATCCCCTAGAACTGGAGTTAGATGTGACCGTGAGCCACCAGTTGTGTGTGCTGGGAATTGAACCCAAACCCTTGGTAAAAGCAGCAAATGCTCTTGACTGCTGGGCCATTTCTCCAGCCCCCGCTGCTTTCTTAACCTATCTTCTCGAATTTGTGCTGCTCATACATTTCTGGATGTGCAGCCTCCCACTGGAGTGAGGTCAATGTACCTGGAGTTACACTCTTAGAAAAACCGATTTTTCCCTTTCCCAGAAACTACACAGGCTACCTTCAATGCCCCTCAAGGATGTCATGGTAAGATGTTCGTGCTAAGACACCACACACTTGAGTCCTGGAACAAGGAGAAATCAAGCTGATATGAACTGGAAGTTTCATCCCTACTGGCTGGCTTTCATGGTGCCTGAGGAGAAAAGTGACCATCAGTCTTCCCCACCTGAGACTCCTGCAAGCTACAATAGTGAGTGGCCTGGTAAAAGCCCTGCCCATTGGTGGCACCAAAATCATGGGGATAACCAGCTTAAGGCCTGCTCCACAAAATGAAACCCATACCTCGCACAATTATCAGGCCAACCAACATCCTATGGCTAGACCGGTCATAGGCCGTAGGGGAGAAACTACTACTATTAGTAGTAGTACTACTGCTATTCTCTACTAAATGGAAATTGTACCAAACCAATTCTTAATAGTATATCATTATACCAATAGAATAAAGCATCGCTCAACCCTCACTAGAAATTTCTATTTGCAGTGGATAATAATTAACACAGACCCACAACTTGTCAAGGTGCGGAGAATAGGAGACTGTGGAAAGCTCGAGTCTCAATGGGACATCTATGTCAAAGCCCCTTCACCCAGGGCTCGGGGACCATTGTGAAAGAGGACTCGGAGCACATTTAAGAGGCAGAGGCAGAGCATAACTGCAAGAAGTGACATCTTCGGGATACAGCCAGACAGCTATACATATGAACTCACAGTGTTTACAACAGCATTCGTAAGACCTATACAAGAACAAACCAGATCAAACCCCAGCCTGGAGAGGGCAGGTGGGCATGCGGCCCCTCCCCCCAGCCAATAATTACTAAAGTCTGAACGCCCAAGTGCTGGTGGATGTAGCTCAGTGGCAGAGTGCTTAACCAGCATACACGAGGCCCTCGATTCAACCCCCCAATAGAGACAAAGAAAAGAAAAACACCAAAGCTTAAGAATTGTTATTCTGTCTTGTCCTGACCTTGTCCACAAGGAATAGCTTATTAGCACTAATTAAGCCCTGTCATCTGTGGAACTATCTGGAAAGAAATTATAAGCATAAAGCTACCATTACAGCCATTCACTTTACTTAGCTATTTAACAGAATCAAATGGAAATGTTCTTGTTGCATAACAAAAGCAGAGTTACTGCCTAATAAAACTCCACTAATAATTAATGTCGATATAATACACTGTCTCTTTGGCAGCATTTGACACAGTGGATTCTCCTATTTTTTTTGAAGAAAGAATAAATATAATTTCTTACAATAAGTATGAAAATATGTGAGGTTCCACATAAGTCACTATATAAATGCAAAATCTGTCTAATTTACAAGGCTTGAGTTACAGTAGAATATAGAATAGAGTTGGATTGTGAGACAAGAAAGTTAAAATCACACTTTTGACAACTGTTCAGACACAGCCCTCTTGGCCAAGCATGCAGAGAACCATCAGCATGGAAAATGTTCAGGTCCATCATCTTTATTTCAGGCCAGTGGAGTCTTTATACATTTTCTCCTTCTGGTGGTCCATAAATGAGTTTTCCATTGCTTATAGTGTCAATGTGCATTCTTCCAACTGGATCAGAAGCTTCTTAAAGGTAATAATGACATCTTCTTTTGAATTTGCTGACATGGAAGAAACATGCCTGCCACCCAGCACAATTCCTGAGCAGACTGTTCTATTTCAGATTCGGTAGAGGAGGAAGTTCATTTTAACAAGTGTCACTTCTGATGCCCATTGTAAAAGCTCCTTATAAAGCAGGTTAGTTTAAAGTATAAGGTATTATTTGTTCTAAATTTTTTCAATTCTTTTTTTATTTAATTTTTTTATTTTACATACCAACCACTCTTCCCCCTCCTTCCTCTTCTCCTGTTCCCTCCCTTACTCCCCCATCCCATCCCCCATTCACTCCTCATGGGGGTAAGGCCTACCTTGGGTAGTCAACACTGACTGGTATACCAAGTTGGGGCAGGACTTAAAACCCCCTGGGTCAAGGCTGAGCAAGGCATCCTACCATAGGGAATGGGCCTAAAAAGCCAGATCATGGACCCGGGATAAGTCCTGGTCCCATTGCCAAGGGCTCCACAAACAGATCAAGCCACACAAATTCACTAACTTATCCCGATAAATTCAGTTAAACATCTAAAGCAAAGTTTTAAGAGTATTTTTATACAGAGGTTTACGTATATTATCTGCACTGTATACATTATCTTACCTAATTTGTACAAATTGGTAAGGTAAGTATTACACTTGATCTATTTTACACATAAAAAATTTCAAATATCTGCTAGGTTAGGAGATTTGCCCACAAACGCATATCTACTAATTAATAAAAGAGAATTTAAACTCAGAATCAAATTCTAGAATCAAAGCTTTAAAATCTGTTAGGATATGAATCTACCAGAAAAGTGTATTGTTATTCTAATATGGATGATGGTATGGTTTCCCTCAAATGATTGTTAAATTATATTATACAGACAAACTAATTGTTTTTCCACAGCATGAGTGAAGGAGGGCATAGGTGAATATTTCTGTTGTAAATATAGATGATTGGAATTTTGCATATATTCATGAGAAAATTTCTGAACTTCAAAATGTTTATTTTTCATTTGATTCTTTATCTTAGTCCTTAATTGAATTTTCTTCTTTTAAAAATAGCTCCATTTATAAATCTGAATAAAGTGCTAAATAACTCAGATGGGTTTCCCTGGAAATAGCCTAGGCAGGCTTACACTTCTTAAAATTAAAACAAAAGAATATAATAATAACACTTACCTGAAGATTTACAGTGTGTTGGCAGACAATAATTGTTAACATAATAATTAATTCATTTATATCTCTGGGATTAAGGAAAATAAGGTATGTAGAAACTTAGGATAGTGTCAAATGTGAAAATAAAATAATAAAAATTATTAATAAGCTTTTCTATTTAAATTTTCTAGTAAATTATTAAAGTTAGTTTTCACTAAATTATCTAAGAAGTTGGTTCAAAACCCCCACCCCAGATGAAGAACAGACAGTAATTTAAAGTTGGAAATGAAAAACCTCTATCCTGTTATTAATAAAAGCAACAGAAGAGCAAATCATTTTGTCTGTTTTCTAGTAGTGGTCAACATAACAGCGTGTCTCCATCTTTTATGTACAGTTTGATAATTTAAGAAACTATGAACACACAAACTCTCCAGAAGAGTTGGCCCACTCCGAAGGCTGAGATGGCCCTGGACGCAGCGTGGGAAGGGTCACTGAAGACATTCATTCCAGAACACTCTGCCATTAGTCCTTCCTACTCTCTGGAAGTTAGAAATCATACTCCAGTTTGCCACAGAAGTGTCTGATCATTTTCAGGACACTCTTTTATCTGACAAGAATATCCAAGCCAAGGAAACCTGCTCCAGACGCTGTTAATACCTGCACCTCAAAATCCACAGTGTAGTATCTCGCAGATAGGTCTGTCCTTCCCACAAGCTGAGGACAGGAACTGCAAGGGCCTTTCAGACTCCTGTGTGTTCTATGACACGTTACTGACCACCTCCAATTCTCTGCTCTATAGGAATACTCTGAAAAGTTCCTTAGCATGTATGCATTGTATAGAGTGCTAAGTCCATACAGACGGTTTCTTCAAGGGTGTCAGGTACTCTGACCATACTCACCCCACACCCTGCCTTTCTTCTCCAGCCTCTTCTCCTTTCTTACTGGTCTCCTTCTTGACCCTAGTGTCACCCCTGTTTTCTAAATGCTTTAAGACTGTCACAGCCTGAGTGTGGAGGTCAGAGGACAGCTCGTGTGGTTCTTGACTTCCGCCATATAATGGAATTGAGTTGCATCCATTTTCCAGCAAATAACATAATTTTACTTTTTATGGCTGACTATATCTCCTTTGTGTACATATGCCATCTTCTCTTTATCCATTCCTCTGGTGATAGGTATGTAGTTTGGCTGCATGTCTTGGTTAATGGGAATATTGCTGGAATGAGCATGAGTATGCACATGTTTCTGTGATTTGATGGTTTAGGGTGTTTGCTGTGGGATGGTCTGTATGTCAAATGTGTTGCTGATTGGTCAATGAATAAATCACTGATTGGTCAGTGGCCAGGCAGGAAGTATAGGCGGGACTAACAGAGAGGAGAATTGAGAGAACAGGAAGCTGGGTGAGGGAGACACTGCCAGCCGCCATCAGGACAAGGAAGATATAAAGTACCGGTAAGCCACAAGTCACGTGGCAAGGTATAGATTAATGGAAATGGATTAATTTAAGCTGTAAGAACAGTTAGCAAGAAGCCTGCCATGGCCATACAGTTTGTAAGCAATATAAGTGTCTGTGTTTACTTGGTCGGGTCTGAGTGGCTGTGGGACTGGCAGGTGAGAGAGTTTGTCCTGACTGTGGGCCAGGCAGGAAAACTCTAGCTACAGGTGTTTATCCAGAAGAAGTATATCTGGTTCATATGGCAGTTTATTTTTACGGTGTGTGTGTGCGCACGCGCTAGAGAGAGACAGACAGACAGAGACTACTGATCTCCATAATGACAGAACCTATCTGCATTTCCACTAGTAGTGTGTAAAGACTGTCTTTATCCTGCATCATTGTGAACATTTGTCTTCATTTGTTTGCTTTGTGATACCCACTATGGCTGTGTTGAGATGGAACCCAATGTGTACTGTCTTGAAGTTACCTCCCATTTCTTCAGCTGTTTTTTTCTCATTTGCAGATTTTCCTGTCCTAAAACTCCATCTGAAACCTCTTCTCTATTCTTAAGTTACTGCAAGTTTTTAACAGCAACATCACTTTGGAAGTATCAATTAACTTTCCGAGACTGTGAGGTTTAAGGGATAATTTACTGAGGGAAATTATATGCTGTGCTGTGTATGGTTGGAACGTTTTAAATGTGTTTCATGGGTGATTCTGATGCTGACCAAAGGTTAGAGGATGCTGATGACATCATCTATCACCCTGTCTTAGTTGCTTTTCTGTTGTTGGAAAGAAGCGCCATGACCAAGGCAACCTGTCAAACAAAGCATTTCATTGGGAGATTGCTCAGTTTCCAAGGGTGAGTCCGTGACCATCATGGAGGGGAGCATGGAAGCAGGCAGGCAGGCATGGCACTGACATGTTGAGACAACAGCTGCCTGGCAGAGAAAGAGAGAGGCAGACAGACAGACAGAGAGGGAGGGAGGCAGACAGAGACAGAGAATGTGTCTGGGAATGGCACATACCCTTTCCTTCTCAAAACAGTTCCACCAACTTGTATTCAACTCTAAGAGCCAATGGGGACCATTCTCATTCACACCACCACAACCAGTTCCAAATCTTTGAGGATGATTATTTAAAGCCCCCTTGTGTATAAGACTCTATACTACCTGAGCCTTGTTTGCCTTTCCAGCCCCCTCTCTTGAATTCCTTCCTCTCAGAAACTGGTGATGGAGACATTCCCAGCAGCATCCCCCTTTGACTCAGCCTTCCTAGTAACTCTTCATTCTTTTTGAAATAACTTCCCCCTCTTGGCTCCTTGGCCAGGCGCATCCAATTCCTCCTTAAATTGCAGCCTAAATGTCAGCTCCTCCTTTGATCACCTAGGTCTGGGATTCGTGGCCCTCCCATGAGTTCTCATAGCACTCGGAATGTCGCCTGTCATTGTACTTACCATGCCTTATCACACCTGCTCGATATTTGTTTCTGTCCTCCATAAGATACTTCCATTTCTGTGTCCTGACACACATTTAAAAGGTGCTTCATAAAAGCAATTTGATGAATGAATCAGTGATTGAATGGCTCACAGAGGGATGCTTCCAGACCAGAGCTCTTCCTTTGGCTTTCGTATAAACTGGACATGTAAAAAACTAAATGCATTATCTTTACAAAAACAGTTTCTTCCTTTGCAATTCTTCTCTTCAGTGCAACACATAAAAATTTGCCCAATTTATAAGGCCAGTCAGTTGAGGATTACCCAAGACTGCCCTATCTCCCTTATCCCCATATCCAATCTGTCATGTTGCACATTTCCAATTGCCTAGCTCAGGAGAGTTTTTCAAAGCGTGATTATTGAGGTTTGATTCAAGGGAGTATTTCAAGTATACATGTTTACCTTATCTCTTTATAAAGACCATTGTGGGGGGATAGTAAATAAGTACAAAGGGAAGAACTCATAAAAGTACCAAGAACAGGGAATCAGAGAGTCTGGTGGCTTTCTGGAACTTGAGAAGCAGGTGGAAACTTTCATATTAATAAGCAAAAAAAAAAATGGAACCCTCCATGTTTTCAGATTGAGACTGATCGCATAAAGACTAGCATGTTCCTATTTGTCCAGCCAGAGAGACTCAAGAAGCAAAGCCCAAGACAGTGGGTGGGAACAGGCAGATGACAAAAGACTGTGTTAAGGATAAACTGGAGTTCTCCTTAAACACATCTGGGCTCAATGAGTGTGACAGTAAAACCCCACCCCCAAAAATCTGGATTTTAAACAAGGATCACGTGTGGTTTTTCTGGTAAAGCAGTTTCGGCAGCAGTGGAACACGGAGGGCTCTTTGTATAGAAGCACACACAGATTCGCACAGCACACAGGATTAGCATGAAGCTCCCAGCCTTGGTTTAAAATCAATGGTTGCCTTCTAAAGAAATCTTGAAACCTAACTAACAAGCACAGTGAGATCTCAGATAAAGACTGTCATCACACGGACATTTAAGGATGGCAATTTTCTGCCTAAACATTAATAATTCATAATGACTCCTGCCTAGATTTGTGCTCCAGCCATATACACAAAGTTGC